AATGCCAATGCAGAACGGGCGGGTTGGCGCCGGATCATTGGTTCCCCTGAGAGAGGCATACGTACGCTCGCCAACACTTTAGCAACACTGTGGTATCATTCAGACGTCATGGCACTTTTTGCGCCAGACACAACCCAATTAGCCACTAGGATCGGGGTCGCTGGTTGAAGACTTCACGCAGCTGGACGGTGGAGCGGCGAAAGGAACATTTGGTGGTGTTGATCGCGGGATCCCCGGGGCCGATAGATTGAGGCTTACGCAGCAGGCATAGGGATGTGTCAAGGGAAAGGGTACAGTGGCACCAATGGGAATAATCGGGAATGAACTGCTGCCCGTATTCTATGCGACACTGCGTGCTTCTGCTTCGCCCGAACCGTGTCCACTACGTGAATCCAGCATTGTTCGTGCCTAATTCCAAGTTAAGCTTACCCTGTCGACGGGATCAGAGGACGATAGCCGGCGCTTCTCCTCGTAACGGTCTAGCGGTCGAAGATGGTGTTGTGTGCCACATCTCGACATGCGCATGCCTGCAAAAGCAGTTGCACAGTGCTGTCAAGTCTCTCTTTCTCGCGTCTCTCGCTTAACGGAGAACGGGCCTGAACCACCAGAGACCTTTCAGTAGGTGTAGGGATGGTGGTGGGTTGGAAGGGGAGAGAGCCTGGGAGGAAGAGACACCTGATGATCGCTGCTTGGCTCCATACTCAAGTGGGCGCAAGGCTCCATTAGCATGACCGGGGCGATGAAATCACACCGAGGCAGAAGAGTCCCCATCCCCTGTTTCCCCGTCGCATCTACCGCAAATAAAAGCCGGTGAGTCTTCAAAATGGGGCGCATTTTGGGGGGACCCGACGCCTCTGCTGCCGCTGTATCTCTTGTCTTTTTTTTTTTCTTACTTAGGGGCCAAAAAGGCTGTCAAGGATGCAGGGTATAGGAAACTCGGAGGCATGTCTCCAACTGACCCTTGGAGGGTAGGAGGGGCGCGGTTCGCGTTCCTAGACTGCATCAGGAAGTCCAACAGTCCTTGCCCACGATCCATCGCGGCAAAAGAGTAGGGAGGGGGGTAAAAAAGGCTTTGGTCTCCATCAAAACTCCATATCCATATCGACCTCGCTTTCGCCTTCTTTTCCCTTTTCTAGTGGGTTGCCCGCCTGTCTGTCCGGGACTAAAATGCACCCGCTAAACCAATGAGCAAGATATTACAAACAGTATCGAAGTACAAGTTTTCATGGTGATGATGGCGCGAGTGAGCCCGCAGAAGCAGAAGTAAGGGGAGCGAAGGGGGAAATGCCGAATGTGCGTAGCCCTGTCTGATGGCGCATTACCTCCACTCGAAAGACTCCTCCTTTGGCGGTCTCGGCATTGTAACAAGTTCACAAAAGTTCTGCCCCAAAAAAACCTTGGTGACCTTGGCAAACCTGAGTCGTCGTACGTAGTCCTCTTTTTTTTTTCCGCCGTCGTGCATCGGGTGATTGGGCTCGATTCGCTCATCCCATCAATTGCCGCACGTCGGTGGGCGGCCAGCGGACCTGCGCAAAGGTGAGCAGTCGCTTGATGCTCTGCAGGTACTTGCGGGTGACCTCGTCGCCCATGACGTGCCCGCGCTCGCCGTCGTGCAGCTTCTCGCGGGCACTGCGCTCGTGGATGCCCACCATGGTGACTCCGATGGGCCAGGCGGCCTTGCCGATGGAGAGGCGGAGGTAACCGTCGTTCGCGTCGACGTAGCGGCGCTCTTGCGCGGCTTGGACGATTTCGATGATGGGGGCGAGGAGGTCGTCGTCCAGGTCGTACTTTTCAAACTTGCGGAAGAGCTGCGAGGTTGGTGTCAGTAATTGAGTGGTTGGCTGGCAAAAGAGGGTGGTCGTGGACGTACCGGCTTCAGGTTCTCGCGGCTTTGCACCATCGCGCTGTAGGCCGTCTTGCTGGCTGTGGTATCCCGCCGCTCTTGCTCCATCGCCTTCTCGTACTCCGTCAGAACCATCGTGAAGTACGAAGCGAGCTGCCTGAACAGCCATCGCCTGCCCTCCTTGTCCTTGGGCACCGTGCCGTCGACCTTCATGTCCTTCTCCTCAACCAGCTGCAGTGTCGTCGGTATCGGGCCCTTGGTCACCACCGTCGTGAGCCTCCTGTACCTCCGCAGCCTGGCCGCGTGGCTCTCTCCAAACAGCGTCGCCGGCTCGCCCAGATCGCGCAGCTTCGTGTAGAGTTCTTCGTCGGGTATATCCTCCATGCCATCCTCCATCTCGGAGACATCCTCGCTGCTGGCCTTGACGAGCTCCGGGAGCCCGAGCCGCCGCCGTCGCGCGCGCTCTTCCTCCTCCTCTTGCTCCTCCCGCCGCTTCCGTGACTCCTCCGCCAGCCGTTGTCTCTTCTCCTCGCGGATCTTGTGCTCCTCTGCCGCTTCCTCCTCCCGCTTGCGTTTCGCGGCGGCCTTCTGCTCTCGCTCTTTCTCGAGGCGGGCTTGTTCGGCCAGGTACTCCTCCTTCCGCTTCGCTTCGACGTCGGCGCGCTTGAGGTACTTTGAGGATGACGATGAGCTGGACTGCTTTGATGACTTGTCCAGCTCCTTTGACATGAGCGCTGCGAAATCCATGATTACGGTTCGCTGTCTATCGATCGTTGGGGGTTCGTCGTCAGGGGGACTTCGTCGGTCGCCGTGGCCAGTGCTGGCTAGTGGTGGGTCCGTTCCAGCTCAGAAGGGTGTGTTGTCTCGTGCCTGCGTCGCGATGGTAGTCCCGTCCCTTGATGGTCGTTTGTCGTCGCCCGCGTCGATGAAAAGTCGATGAGATGTCGTTGAACAGCTCGGCATGGGATAAAAGAAAAAAATCGGATAAAACGTTCCGCAAAAGCTTACTTTGCTTTATTTTTACGTGTTTCCCCCACACCTTGGGGGAGGCAGTGCAAAAAGTTGTGGTGGACGATCCATGCATGGAAGCTCTGGAAGATCGCGCTTAACTTGCACAGCCTCACTCGCCTACGACCTTGACTCCAGTCCGGGGGAACGCACACACGCAAACTAGTTCCCGCGTTTTCCTGCTGGACACCCCCCGAAAACGTGTCTTTGTACCTGTTCGTCGCAAGGGGAGCTTGTCAAGCTTTTTTTTCCGGGCGTTTTTCCTTTACTCCACCGATTTCCTGTGTTTTGCAGGCTTAGTTGCTTGCATTTGACGTCGTGTGTGCGGTGTTGGTTTCGTGATACCTCACCCTCCGACCGCACCCACCCGACTTCCGAACCACTGGACCTGCTCAAGCCAGAGCCAAGGAAGGACGTGATGGCTTCATACGACCGGGAGGTGACTACCCCATTCTTGCTCCGGCTCTTTTACAAGAATGGGTCATTTCACAGGTAAAGTGGGACTCAGGCACCCCGTCGCTTCGGGCTTGTAGACATAGCTTGCTAATGAATTGTTTCCCAGGCCAGACGAGTTCGCATCGAGGAGCCTGCCACCGTCGCTGTCGCTCTATACCTGGCCCAGCAGTACCCTCACCGAGCTGGCGGAGCAAGTTGCTGCGGAAGATCCCTCCCTCCTCCCCAGCCCGTCCGTGGGCACAAGGCTCGCATTCCGATTGATCTACCCCGACGCCCGAAACGCGGCAGCCACCGCGGGCGCACATCACGCCCCGACACAACCACGGTTCATGGTGAAAGACCTGGGGAGCGTAGTGCTCGGCGGCGACGGCGCTTCGGCAGCGCTGCTTGCCGCGGCCAACGGCGCGGAGGGAGACGATGGAGATACCGAGATGACGGGAGCTGCCGCGCTGGCGACCGCGGAGACGGCGATGAAGGACAAGACGCTTGGGGAATTCAAGTTCGTGGTGGGCGACTACGTCTCATGCGCCATCTTGCCGCCGCTCGCCGACGGCTCCGTTGCGCCGGCGATAACGGCACGGAATGATAGACCAACGGGCCCGAGGGGTCCTGCGGCTGGGCATCCTCCGCACAATAACCGGCGAGATGCTGGGTTCGCAGGACGCCCGGTTCGGGACAGGGAACGGCGTCGCTCTGGGTTTGGAGACGGTGCTTTCCCTGAGGGCGAGTGGAGGAGAGGTGAGAGGCTCCCTGATGAGGCCCCTGAACGGTCTTGGGGAAGAGGAAGGCGGGGAGAGAGGGGCGACAGATGGTGATTTGGACCCATCTCGTTCAGTTGCGACCTGAGGAGTTTCTGGCTTTCCGGGTCTTCATCGACTTTGCCTTCGACTGGAAACGACAAAGTCGGCTTCATTCGTTCGGAAATGGGTTCTACAGATTTTGGTCAACGAGGTAGGCTTCGGAAGCTATACGCCGCCCCGTGGTTGTTGACCTGATAATCACAGGGGACCGCGCGACCGGGTAGCCATCTTCGGGATGTGAGGGCCCTATTCGCCCAGACTTGGAAGATATAAGCGACGGATGGAAAACTGCATCATATGACCGATCCAGGCTCACCATTGAGCTCCGAGAAGACGTTGGGGACAAAGTTTGACGCCTAGGCGGGTTTTCTAGATAGCTTCCGGCATGGAAGCAGCATGAAAGGTTACGAACTATGGGAGACGACGATGATCAGGGGTCGTCGATGGGTTTATCAAAGCCCCAGTAGGCACATTCAGGGCAAGATGGATTCAATTATGAGAGTGCATCACGGAAGTAGTGTACATCCATAGCTCTGTCGGGACATGCCGTCAACTCGAGAGCTTTTGAAAGACGAGCAGGGTTCGCCAGAAATATCGGAGGCAAGGAAGCAGAAAGGGGGCTTCGGTTCACGACTAAGGGAACGATTGCGGTGGCTTCGCAATCGGCACGGCGTAAAGGTTGTCAAAAGGGATACCAATTGTCTTCATTGGGGTCATTAGCACCCATACATCATCAGAACATATCAATCAGGGCATGCTTCAAACACGGCAAATGTGACCTGAGGCGTTGCTTCGAACAAATGGAAACTTGAATTTTTTTTCATTTATTTCTTCCATTCCAGCGTGGATCTCCAGGCTTATGTACGACCACAGCTCCATTGTACCAAGTCAATCTATCGCTCGTAGACGAGGTCGCCCTTGCGCTTCGCACGCAGATCCCAGAGACCCTGTTCATTGCGTCAGTATGTGTGCCACTTCAAGATTCCAAGCCGTGCTCATCGCTAGGCAGGGTTCGGGAGAGAGTAGAGCTCACGTCGGTCTTGTAGCCAATGTATCCGATGATCGCGGGGACAACGGCAATGTAGATGAAGGAAATGCGGGCTGTTCTCGGCGTCCATCGGAAGAAGATGTGTCTGTTGCTCTGCATGTCTGTTCGGCGTCTTCGGTTAGCACCTCCACTGCTTCCTCTCTCGCGACGCAATCGATTGCATCAATGTAGCTCGGATATTGTATTTCACGTACGTCCCAGCTTGACCAAGGCCGGGTCAAGGGCCAGCTCTGTCCGCAAGAATTAGCATTTCTTCAGGTGTATTTTTGGGGTGTCAGATTGGCTCACTGTGGTGCTCAACGCCGCCTGCCATCTTGATCGATGTCAGAGCAATGCTCAATCTGTGTCCTAGAGAAAAATTGGCTCGGTCGGGACGACGAAGTTTGCGGGTTTCCGGGGTTAATCGGCAGAGCTCATCGACTTGTGCTGCTTGAAGCGCCGTGATGCGCGATGCTCAGCCGACCGTTGGAGTTGCTTGCTTAGATAATACCGTCTCATGCCTTGAGGGTAAGGCACTAACCAATCATACGGGCTGTATTAGCCAGATGCTTAGTGACTGTGGCACTGTGCGAGACTGCGCTCGTCAGGGCGCCCTGACAGTTTGGATTCAGGGCGAACACTGTCTGACAGACTCGTCTGGCTCCCGCAGGCTTCGTCTAGTTAGAATTGCTGGTGTTTACATAATCACACCAAGTCAACGTGCCAGAGTGGTTAATGGGCTGCCCTGCTATTGCGTCTAGCTTTCGCTGGAAAATAACATAGGCAGTGGCTTCGGTCGCGCAAGTTCGAATCTTGTCGTTGACGCATTTCCTTTTTGCTATTTTCCCTCAACTTCATCCCGTACATTCCGCTCTTCTCGTGTGTGGTTTCGTTGATACTTTTGAAGTTATCGTCTGAACTTTGACTGTTTCTCCCGGCATTCAATTGAGTTGTGCTGCAGTCGCAAAGTACCTCGCACTCGGGTTTCAACGAGGACTACCTAGTGCTTGTTATATTTACTTCCGGATCGTAGTTCAGCATCGACGAAACTGCTATCTACTCAATTTTACCCCCAAGACTCAAATCATTACGACGCTAACGTGTGATATCATTGACCATAGGGAATTGCAGTCGGAGCCAAGAGTTCCTCCGAAGATGCAGTGTCTCCGACGATCATGAATTGGGCACTTGATTGGGATGTCGACCGATGCGTTTGTGCCGAGGCAAGCCTAAAATGTGGGGGCCTCATCTGGTGTTGCTCAGAATGCGCCGCTGCAACAGAGGACGGTCCAAGTGTTTTTGTTTGGAAGCAGGTGAAGGTGAACTCGGTGGGGCCCGGACACTTGAGTTTCCGGTGTACTAGTGACGTATAAAATGAGGGACATGACCTCGGTGATTTATTTGCTTGTCGATTTGCTTGTACGTTACTGTGATTGCAAAAGGTTCTGCCATTGTCTTGAGATAGCCCAGCTACGTTGAGTAACATCGGAAACGATAAGACGCAGTACCACATTCCAAGCGAAACATTAGCAGGATGGCAACAGAGGAACCCAAGGTGAAGCTCTACTGGTAAGTGTCCGTGAAGTCCTGTACGACCAAGTTCTCACATACAAGTAGGCTGGAGCAGTCCAGAGCCCAGAATATTCTTTGGCTGCTTGAAGAGCTCAAAATCAAGTATGAAGTGGAGGTCTTCCATCGCAACAAACAGACTCTGCTTGCGCCTCCAGAGCTAGCCAAGGTTCATCCCCTCGGCAAGTCTCCAGTCATCGAGATCTTCCCAGGTGGCTCTGGAGAGTCAATCAAGCTGGCAGAGAGCGGTTACATGACGCAGTACCTGTGTGATCACTTTGGAAAAGACTCCGGTCTGATCCCCAAGAAGTGGAAGGACGGCCAAGAAGGCAAAATCGGAGGAGAGACCGAAGAGTGGACGAGATGCCAGTATTATATGCATTACGTTGAAGGAAGTCTGCTTCCTGTCTTTACCTTGTCTCTTGTCATCTCAGGTTGGTCTATCTCGAATGCCTCAATTGAGCATCTTGTTAGATCTCGCAACTAACACACTTCGTCAGCCCTCAAATCGGACAATGTCCCCTTCATCGTCCGGCCTATCACCTCGGTGGTCGCAAACAGGATCTTCAGCATGATGATCTTCCCCAACGCCAAGAAGCATCTATCCATGATTGAGGAGCATCTTGCAACTGCTCCAGGTGGAGGAGACAAGTACATTTGCGGTCCGAACTTGACGGCTGCCGACATCCTGCTCAGCTTTGCGCTCATCGCTGCTGAGGGCAGGCTCGACGGATTTGGAAATTGGCCAGGAGGCTCGGCCAAGAAAACTTACCCCAAGGTATTTGCGTATATCGAGAGACTCAAAAAGGAGCCCGGGTATGAACGATCTGCTCAGAAGATCCGCGAGATTGATGGCAAGTTTGAGGCCACCATCTCTCGATTCTAGGGGATATGGGGTTGGGAAACTGGTGGGCGGAGAACATATACCACTTTGCATTGTTTTTTCTTTCTTCTTTTTACATTAGTAAATTGACAATGGTAACAACTCTACGTAACCTACCTATCAAGTAGAAACGTTACTTGGCCTGGTGACCTGAAGCTGAACATCTCTCGTGAAAGTGGGAGAAGCGAACCTGGGCCCAAGCTCTCTCGGGTAGGTATCCGTACGTCTTAGCGCTACAGCCAAATGACAGGGGCGGTAGCCACCAAATCGGCGTGCATCCTTCCGTGCCCCGACCTTGCGTCCCGGAATTTTTATCGAAAATCACCAACTTGCAGCTCATCGCAAGGCTCCAACCCCACGTCACACGGTTGCTCGCCCGACTGCCAGACGCCATGCTGGCTTCGAGGACGGTATGCGCTCGCTGCCGGACCAGGCTTCTGGCTGGCGCGATCGCTGCCAGCACCACCCGCCCGAACTCGACAGCAAGTTTCCCCTCCGTCACTGCCGAGCAACCCTCCGACACGACAGCGCAGCCACCGCGGGCCCAGGCCTCTGAGGCTTCTCCAAACAAGACCCGTTCAAGAAGATCAAAGAACGATGCCGATGCGAAGAAGCGAGCGCTGGACTTGTTCGAAAGCGCCATCAACAAGAGCAGGGGCGAAGAAGCCGTTACGCAGGAGACGCCGTACACCTTGGAGAAGCTGGCCCGGCTTGCGAAAATACTCGATACTGTCCTGAACTCGAATTTGAAGAAGAACATCACTGTTGAACTCGCAGCGAGGAACTTCGTTATTCTGGAGACAGAGGTCTTGCCAAGTTTACGAAACTCGAAGATACCACAACCTATCTTGATGGAAGCTTCGCAAGCATTGCGACAACTTATAGACTTCAAACTCATCAATCCGCAAGCGAAAGAACTCCCGAGCCTGACAGACCTCTGCCGACTCATGTCTGATTTCGGAAATGTGAAGCCTCAGTCACGTTTGCAGTTCATTAACACATTCCTTAATGCAATCTTGCAAACGCTTTCCGAAGCAAAAGACACCGCCAACATGGAGTCTGCAGCTGTGGAAGAGAGGTTACTACAGGATCTTGTCGATTTTTGGAAGCATTTTACTGCGTTGCGGCGAGTGGACAGCGGTCTGCGATCCGAGCCGAAATTCTGGCTCACCTCGAGACCGGACTTGCGAAGCAGCGACCAGCCGGTGAAGCTCTTCAGGTTGCTACTACATTCTGTAGCAGCCAACGTGGTCGGATTGGACACCGCGTTAGTGACTACGTATGTCCTACTTTCAGACCCTGCATACGAACACACAAAAGCGAGGGAAGATGCGGCGCCTCTCCTCGAAGCGTTGGAACCCATTATCAAGCGTTTCGACCGCGGAAAACTTCGTCCTCTATTTGAGGCGCAACCCAAGTTGTGGCAGTTTGTTGAACCAAGGGCAGACTGGCGGGTCATTCAAGCGGCTCCCAACGTGTTGGGTGAGTTCGCCACTGCTGCGCCAGACGGCTGGGCCCCAAAACATGGCAAATTCGCCTACGCACTGTGGCACAAACGCTTCAACATGGCGTACCGTGGAAACGACCATGCAGCCGTGCAGCAGGCTTGGAGAGATCTTATCGAGCCACCTAATGATGCAAGTCGGGCGGGCAAACTCCGTAGATGTCCTGAGCTGTTCGATTACATATTGCACATTGCCTGCCACAAATCTCGATATGAGAAGGCCATATACACGCAGGTCATCTCCGAGGTTTTAGAATACATGAAGGCCATCGGCCTCGAGCCAACAATCAGGACATACACCTCTATGATGGAGGGTTGGAAGCTGGCAAAGCGAATCGAGCCTATCGAACACATGTGGGAGTCTATCACGACAGCCGGGCTGAAACTGGACCATCAGATTTGGTCAAGTCGGATATCTGCGCTTGGCGGGCTTGGAGCAGGGTGGGATGGCATCAGAGCGCTCACCCAGATGGACAAAGCGTGGCAAGAGGCAGTAAAGAACGGAACAGAGGACCAGGCTCTCAAACCTGCCATGTCGAACGTAAATGCGGCAATATCCGGGCTTCTGTGGCGAAACCGCATGGACGGCGTAAAGAAGGTCTTGGAGTGGGCTTCTGAGAGGGGCCTGCAGCCTGACATCTACACCTTCAACATGCTTCTCTCCAGCATGTTGAAGCAAGGCAAACACGAGGAGGCGGACAGGATACTAGTCAGCATGAAAGCGGCAGGTGTCAAGCCAGACGGCGCCACTTTCACCATTATCATGGATACCGCCTTCGCCGACATATCCCAGCAGTCGCCCGAGGAGCAGAAAGCCACTATCGGGAATGTCTTCAGGGAAATGAAGGCCTGCGGTATCGACCCGAACCAGGAGACGTATGCCAAGATGATACATTCTCTCATCAGACAGGGCGACGTCGCGCGGTCGTCCATCACAGCCATCCTCGCCCACCTGCGCGCCACTGGCCAGCAGCCCTCTACCGAGATCTGCACCATGCTCGTCGAGTACTTCATCGACCATCAGCCCGACCTCGACACCGTCCGCGCCCTCGTTGACGACCGCCGGTCCCGCGCTCGCGCTCTGACGGACCGCGTCTTCTGGGAGACCGTCATCAAGTACTACCACCGCGCAGACGACCTCGACGGCGCTCTCGAGATCGTGTACGACCTCGACGACTGGGGTATCTGGCCTGGCCTGCCACTGCTGGAGCCCCTGCTCCGGTCACTGCTTCACCGCAAGGACTGGGACGCCGCTAAGAAGCTCGTGGGCACCGTACGGCGACAGCCCCGTCCGGAGGCTGCTGACCGAGAAAGTCGGTACTGGAGGCATGCTTTCTGGGCTGTGGCAAGGGATTACGACTTGGTTGATCACAACGCAGAGGTGGTGCAGAATTAGTGGAGATGGCCCTCCCCTTGTACGATGTCGAAGAGACTATTGTATAACACGTTAGAAAACTAAAACCAATGCCTCTTCATTTGTAGCCTTTTGTTGATGATATTAAGACTTAAGTGAAATCAAAATTGGCGACTTGCTCCGTTGTGATTGGTCGATCAGCCCGCGAGCGGCGAGTTCATTCTCAAACAAATAAGAAGTCTTAGGTGCTGGACCGCCTCCCACTTCTTGCTGGCGTACCACCCTTGTAAGACGGATGAAGACTGACCCATAACCAAGAAAGAGGCCCCCGCAGCTCTTTGGCCTTACATCTGGTACTACACGCGAGGGTTTTCGAGGGCTCTTCCTCCCAAAGGCCCATCAAATAAGGCGATGCCCTGGCTCAAAGGTACAGAATAGATAGGAACGGTCATGTATCAGTCCCGGAAACGTTCCCTGTGGAGGTATCTTTGAAGCACTGTCCACGTCTGCAATAGTCCCAGGGAATAGGATGCCACTCATATTATTTGAGTGAGTGAATGTACAACATTGCATGTGTTCCGCTGATCAAGAGACGCCCCCGGGGTGCATTCTAGTATATGGTTCTCCGGAACCATGATCTGTTTAAGTGTTTTTTCAAAGTGCAAGCTTAACACTTCATACATGGTCACTGACTGGTGGCTTAAACAAGCTCCATGTGTCAACCACGGCGGCAAAACTTTGTGGGGGGGGGTCGATTCACGACATTGTCCTAGTTGCGGCCCCGAACCTCCAATATCCCCTCATGCTTCGAGGTGGAATCTAGCCAACAACACCGAGAACATACTTGATCCCCGCCCAGTGCTCCTTGACCGTCGGCCGAATCAACTCCGGAGGCAGCACAAAGCCACCGGCACCACTGGTCTTAGGCCTCAACTCAACACTCCAAGAATACGTAGCATTCAGCGCGCCGTGATGGAAGTCTCTCGCAGAACCAGTGGAGTAGTACAAGATCTCACACGAAGGCCCGACCTGATACTCCTCGCCACTCGTCGCGTTGATAGCAGCTGCGTAACCACCGCCAACATCACGCTGTGCCTGCAGGTTCTTGGGGAGGACATCTGGCGCGCAAGAGAAACCCCAAGGGAGGAGGATGAGCTGTGAGTAGCTGTGCCAGTCAATGAAGAGGCGAATGCCCCCCGGCGTGGCAGCTAGCTTGCGGGAGAGAGCGGAGAGAACGACGTTCTCAGTCGTGTCACCTGGGCTGAGGCCTCGGAAGGTCTGGCTGCAGGGATCTGATGAGACGCTGCCGTCCTCGAGGGGGTAGTTCCATTGGAAGTCCCAGTTACGGTTACCGTCAGTGCCGATACAGGTGATGTTGGAGCGCGGTTGACGGTTCTTCCGCCAGAGACGATCTGTCGTTTGGGTATATACGAAGCCTTGATGAAAGTTAGTGCATTGAGGAGCATAAGTAGGACCGGGAATTCTTGCCGTCTGGATTGTGGAAGGGCACGATGTAGAAGTCGTAAGCGTCGAAGAATGCTGTGACGTTCTTGTTCCCGGACCGATAGCCTTCGATGAGCTGGTAAGTCAGGTATTCGACGGTCTTCACCAACGATGTTAGTACATGCAATATCTTTTCAGTGGCAACGCTTACCATAGTTGTGATCCATTCCCTGGCGTGAACGGTACCGTGCCAGAGGGCAATGGGCTTGTTCTCTGCCGGTTTTCCACCCCAAAGCTTCAGCCCAAAGATGTTGCGCCCTTCGTACGAAGATCCAATGTCCAACCACTGCGAGTTGTTTGGGAACGCGGCATGAAGATCCTTCCAATATTGTACGTGGTCATCATATGAGTGGTAGGAATCGAACCAGCTTAGGCTTGGCAAGCCGCCTCGTTTCGTCAATGGGGTAGAGTTAATGACTCGAGATTCTTCCCTAATCTGGCTGCCCAAGTCGTTGCTCAGAAGTTGGGTATCAAGTCCTAAAGCCTCGAAGCCGCCAATGTCATTCGGCGGAACCGCGACCTCAACGAAATCTTTCAAGTCGATGGAGGGGAATGACACTAAACGGGATTGGAGGTCGCTGGGGGCATTGGCGGTTGACACCCGGTAGACATGGTATCCATCATAATTGACTTTTGCGTCTCGCGGGGCGTTGCTACTGGAGATTTTCACAGCAGAAGCTGCGACGAGGGGTGACAGAACCGCCAGGTAATTGGCGAACTTCATGATGGCTTTGAGCTTGGTCCGGCTGCTAGTGTTGCTTGGAATAACATACTGGCCTGGAAATAACATTTGAACCAAGTAGACTTTATATGCGCAAGTCCCTTGATGGGCTTCCTCTTGGCTCAGTAAACTCAACAGGGGCAAAGTGAGGGGTTCACTCTTGATAACATGCAAGCCAAGACTAGGATGCTTGGATGACGTTCTAGAAATCCTTTACTTGGTAGCATTCTGATGTTTCTTTCGTGAAATGGTCTATTATTTGGTGGAGGTAGCCTGTATAGGTTCGCCGTGATGTTGCATGGAAATGCAGAGCTACTCCCAGAAAAGTAGGTGCGAAGCATTTCGGGGTCTAAGGCGACTCCAACTTCCACATTACGTTTGCTTGGCATTGAGGATAACCGGCCACTTTAGTTGAACCTTCCGCCTGCGGATGCGGAAGAAGCATAGGCTTACTTGGATCTGGCGCGCTGCCAGCATGTCGACTTACGTGAATCATTCGGCGGTATTGGTCTTTTAGCCAAGAATCAGGATTTATTTGCTGGCGATCACGCACTCGCAAGGCCTGCTCCGGAATAGTCCCGGCGAGTCCGGCTCCTGACGGGGATCCACTTTTCGGGTCTCTTCCGTATTCGCACCCGACACATCCGGATGTCACGCGGAGCTGGTTCGAGCAGCATTGTGTCTACCTAGTGTTCTTGGCAGCCAAAGTGACTCGTTTGATACTAAGTTATGTGGCCCACCAAATATCCGGGGAACGTTAGTGAGCTAGAACTCCAACATGTAGGTGTAATTGTATCAAGCAGTACGAGTGTTGTTTGGACATTGGCTGCCTTTTCTGGACCAGCCTAAATCCGGCCTTCGAATCCGCAAAACTCTATCTCGGATTCCTCGTAGGAAAAACAGCAAGCAACAGGATTTCATACAAAACCAATTTAGATTCTACGATAGTCGGGCGTGTGAGTGAAATGATTGAGCATACCTCAGCTGGAGTTCGTCTTAGTATCGGACCCAAGCTCCGGCGTGTGCCCCCTAAAGTCTCCACTAGGCTGCTCGGCGTCGACCGGTTTGGACCCCAAACGCCAACCCCAATTCACCTTGCCTACCTACAGTTTACCTGAGCGTCCCTTGAAGCTAGGTAGGTGCAGTGAGATGGTCCGACGTCACAGGTGCCTGTGACAGCCGCCACTTTCCAGAATTTTTTTTCTCTCCAACTTTGACGCGTCGTCTATTTTCCAACATAGGTGTTCCTTAGCAAAAACATCGAATTATTGTCGCCAAACGCCAGCTCTACGACCTACGAGCGACGTTTTTGTCGCGGAACAATTGCACTGCGGAAATGGGCTAGAAATCACAACCGAAATATCGATACCGACCGACGCGATGGCTACCGAGAGCTCCAAACCTTCGTCGCGCGACGAGTCTTCCGACTCTGGAAGCGGAAGCGACAGCGAAAATGAAACCCCATCGGCAGCCACCCCGACAACGGTCGAATGGCTTGCAACCGGCCGTGCAAAGCGTTCCACAGCCGGCAACCGAATGAAGTCGATGCTCGCCAACGAAGAACCCGACTCCGATCTCGAGCTCCTGTTTGCCGAAGACGACAACGATGAGGGCTTTACCGATGTCGACGATGGCGGCTCCGACGTACAGATGGACTCGTCATCCGACGATGAAGACGAGCAGAACCAAGGGGACGACATGGAAGGAGAAAAGGAGCTTGAGAAGCAGGCCAGGGAGAAGAAGGCTGCGGCGCGGAAGCGAAAAGCCCAGGAAGTCATACCGGCCAAGTTCAGGAAGAAGGTTCGCATCGACGCAAATCAGAATACTGCACCAGCTCCGCGGCCCAAAAAGAAATCAGAACGATCAAGTTGGTTACCGTCGCCTGCCGACATGCCCGTCCGTGCCTCGTCCCGACAGACAACAGTGCTCAGCAAGGAGCAGCTGCATCAACAGATGAAGGAACGAGAGGCGAAGCGCTTGAAGCAGGCGAAAGCAATGGAAAAGAAGGCCCAGAGGCAAGCGGAATCAAAGAAGCCGCCGATGACACAAGCAGAGCGACTCGCTGAAGCCGCCATTGTGGAAAAACGGAACTCCAAGTCTCTGAACAGATGGGAAGAAGCGGAGAAGGCTCGTGAGGAGGAGCGGCTGGCCAAGATTGCAGCGCTGCAGAATCGCACGCTCAAGGGACCTGTTGTGACGTACTGGAGTGGCCTGGGCGAATGGGAGCATCATTTGAAGCATGTTGGCAGGGTCGCGGAAGAGGAGAAACCTGTGCGGAAGAAGCGGGAGAAGAAGGAAAAGCCAGAGAAGGGCAAAGGCAAGGAGAAGGACGGGAAGGAAGGCGAGAAGGCCGAAGAGAAGAAGCGAGAAGGACCAACAGCCACTGCGACTCCTACGCCTGGGCCCGAAACTACGCCTTCGAAGCCGGCAGACGGACAAGGGGAGTCGAAGCCTGAAGCTCCATCAGCGCCGTCAGTATCGACAACTGGTGATGCCCCTCAGACAAATGGTACCCCGAAGGCACCATCGCCACCCACGCCATCTCCAGCAACACCAGCGGAGGCGACTCCAGACATCAAGACAGAAGACAGACCCAGCGTCATGGCACCTCCGTCTATGGCACCGCCTTCATTAGCATCCCCTTCGTGTGCGCCTCCTTCTCTGGCAGCACCTCCATCCCTGGCACCTCCTACAATTCCACCAGCGGCAACCATCTCACCTGCAACCTCCCAACCTGAAAACCAGCCAAGGCTCATGGCACCACCATCAATATCACCTCCACCATCAATGAGCGCACCGTTAATGGCTCCTCCGCCAATACCTCCTCCGCCAAAGACTTCGGTACTGGCAGCTCCGGTACTGGCACCACCAGTCCTCGCGCCGCCCCTGGGAGGCATACACCTGGGACACCACAACTCACAACCTAAATCCAACGTTCTCGCGCCGCCCAACACGTCACAACATCGATCTCCTCTCTCCATGCCCGCTCCGCCTCCACCTCCAACGGCGAGACCGCCGCCTCCGCCACAGGCACCCCTTCAACCGACTCAACCTCGAGCTCCCCCAAAACCTCCCATCGTGGCTCCGTTACCACCGCCGCCGCCTGCAGAACCCCCAAAGCCCGAAGAGCAACCCCCAAGCGAGGTCGCTCGCAGCGCGTTCATCCTCCGCAACTTTGATGAAGACCTGATCAAGGATAAGACAACCCAGACGCAGATTCTCTTCGGACGGAGGATGGACCGCCTTGCGAAGCCCGCCCCTCGCCCAGTTTGCGTCATTACCGCTCACCCGGCTCGCTACCGGGACCCCGATACGGGTCTACCTTATTATGACGTTCGTGCATACCGGGAGATTCAGAGACTCCGCCGTGGTGAGTACAAATGGAGCAGTCTTCTCGGCGCCTGGGTCGGCAGTTGTAACTACGCAGCTCGTGGAGTCCCGGAGAGGTTCCTGAAGGGTGACGGCAAACCCAAGCCCAAGCCAAAGGAGAAGGAGGTGGACGTCACCATCGGGGCACCCTCCGAAAAGCAAGAAGGCAAAGAGGACAAGACCGCCTCGCCCCCACAAGAAGGGGGGAAGGAACAGCCGGAAACGGTGGCGGAGAAGCAAACGGTTCCAGCCCCGTCTCCGTCCGCACCGCAGACGCCGCAAGCGCCGCAGGCCGTGGTCCAGACGCCAGCCCAACCTCAGACTCAGCAAGCGAAACCGGCAGCGACCGAACCTACAACGGCCCCTATAGCCGCTTCGGTCGCGACACCAGTCTGAGTAAGAAGAGACTTTGGTGGTTGCGTCCCTGAATAATGGCGGCGGGAGAAAGCCTAAAACCTCAGACGCTCTTTATAGGCTCCTACCGATCAGATCGGAACGAGGGGCCGAAACAGGAACGGGGGGTTTAGGGGGACGTAGGGGAAGTGGAGGGCGGGCAGCCTGTGCATGAAGAAGCTTGTTCGCCCGTTGGTGTTGACGCCCGTAATGAACCGCTCTTGGTCTGTAATCATATCTCTATATCGTATGTAACAATACCCTCAGGGCGCTTCTTCGAAGCCAGCCTCTGACGTCTCGAGAATATCTCGAGCAATACATGTTCTGCATCACAAGGTCACCGAACCAATCTCTCTCACGTTCTGGAATTTGCATCAGGCCATCAAACAAGATTACCTACAACGCTAGAGTTTCAACCGTTCAACAGCTTCACGAACGCACCCACTCGCAGTACACCCCACCCATAAGACATCGGGTGCTGCCACACATTGGAGCACTTGGGGCAGAAACGTTAAACGGGGCTCCGGCCGGAGATGTGTCGGCGCCGGAGCTCTCTCGACCATTTCGTCCTGCTGCAAACAATACAGGTATTAAGGGGGTCAGGAACAAACCGGAAGGTGTTAGAGAGGGCGGCCCTGTCCACTGGAAGGGGTGAACTTGCAAAACGAAAAGAAAATAGACGTTGACGGGCACATAGTAGCATGAAAAACGTTAAAAATTGAATTGTCTTGGAAGTGCCCTTGAGGGTGTGCTGGCGTGGTGCGAAGAGTCGAAATATGCTTTCCTTCACAGACGGTACAGATCCTTTCTCATGTTGGGACGTTTTCAATCTTCAGACCAGGCACACTCAGATGAGAAGGCTCTCTGTCGTTGGCCGGCGACCTTAGTCACAGCTGGACCTGTTCGGCCACTCACACCCTTCGTCTCGACTCTCACCACACGCAGCTCAAGTTTTTCTCATTACTCGTGTGCGTACAGTCTATCCCGTGTAAGCATAGTCAGGCACACACACACTCAGTCACACACAACCACACGGGGAGGGCGACGACGAGGAGGGCAAGAAAGGCACCTACACACCACCTTTCCTCCTCCCTGCCCAACCGTAGTTACGTACGCACGCAGCGCACGCACATAACTCACCCACACGTAGACCACCACAGAAGGGGAGAGAGTGCACGCGCGGGCAGGTTTGCTGCAACACAGACGCATGATTACACTTAAGCTCTCATCAAAGCACACCAGACACATAAGACTCTCACACACCCACCCATCCACCCATCTTAATCCATCCCAAGCTTTCGGGTTCGATATCGGATTCCCGTCTGCCCCCACCGGCCACCACCCGCCGTCCGTCAACCTCGTCCACTCATTCAGGCACTACACTTTCACTTCTCACTGACAGCCTCATCGGACGAGTGATCAGGTCAGGGCAGGTCCAGGGGAAAACTGCAACCGCCCGAAGGGAAAAGGACATGTTTGAAGATCGCCTTGCTTAACGTTCACGTAGTGTTGGCTGACCCCCTTGACGCCCTCCCCGAACGAATTACAAGCCAGTTATCCGTCTTAGCGGGGACCAACAGAACGACAAACCGAGACTGAATACACCAAGACAGAGAAAAGATGGGAGGATTTAACTCGCACGAACATGGACCAGCTCACCACAGGCCGCTGTAATGCTCGCGGCCCTTCGACCAAACCCATCTCGACCGTCCCTCTCTCGGCCGTGAATGTAGGGCTCGTAGCTTTCCTCCACGGCGGCCCCGAAAAGGGGACTGCGGACACACGCACACCACCACCACCATCATCATATCTCGCGATGCTATATCGTCCATTTACCCCCCGAATAAGATTAAGAGAAGGTCATGTCGTCACCACCCTCATTACGCAGATACGCACAAAAAAACCTGCTTAAGCTTGCGTACCTGAGCTGGAAGAATGAGGGCATTACCCCCCCCCCCCCCCCCCCCCTCACGAGGCCTTCACCATGCTGCTCAACACCCTCTTGGTCTCTGCGCCCCCGCCTCACTAGTACATGCAGCAAGCAATGCGCGCGCGCGACGGGCGTCCGAAAGAGGGGAAAATAAAGAATCATGAAGAATGCCCGTCTAGAGGAAGTATCGTCAAATTCGAAAACCTGATTAGCCCAAATGTTGCTTTCCCATGAAAGAAGAGGAGTAATCCCGCGCTACGCGTGTCTTGGTCGGCGACTCCGCCCGACGACGACGGTTCAAAACATGCGGAAAATGAATCCAGCATGCAGTCTCGAGACTAAACTTTTCCATCATCTTCGATCTGCTGCATAACGCCAGTCAGTCCCTCCTCCCCACTTGCTTCGTGTTCCTGACCATTGGTAACTTGATCAGCAAGCTAAGCTTCTTTGACGGGTTTGATCTTCCTCTCACACTTACACACAAACACACAGCACCTGACTGACCACTGGGCCACGCGGAACTTGGACATATGGGGAATGAGAAGCCGCCGAGCCTCATGTTCGCGCGCCCGTGCCCCGTTGTGTGCTGCCCCAGTTTCGATGTGCTTCCTGTTTGGATGCTGTGAAACCTGCTGCGAAGATGTGTCTTGGCTTTTCGTCGCAACCGGCCTATTTTCGAATCAATGCTTGAAGCCCAAGTTTTCCAGACGGTGGGCTGTGTGTATTATCTTTAGATCCTGAGAAATATTGGCAACATTGGCAAAGTGGCTGGGCTAGCTCTTTGACAGGGCGGTGTAAGTCATGCGCAAAGATCACGATGTTTGTAGACGTAAAAGTTTCTTGAGTCATTGCAGATGTTTCATTCGTCACCTAGCAAATCCATACATCGTTCCATATGGCACATTGCCAAGTCCACCACCATCAACAGCGCACGTTGTCATCCAGTCCTTCTGGCTGGCCTGATAGCCGCAACAAAGAAATGAGACTAGATACTCCCAAGCACCGTCGCGATGTAGATGTCCATTCCCAACATTTTGCGCCGAATAAAAAATCACAAGAGAGCAGCTTTTTGGAATGCCTGCAATCTCTCCATCCCATTTTCCCTGAATCGCTCAAAAATGCCCACTCCGTAAAGCGCCGTCGGCTTGATAGCCGAATAATGAGTGGAAGTAGTAGAAGGGGAAGTGAAAATGGGGTATATCCTCGTCCGGTACTCCGCAAAAATCCTTTCCGCCGTTTGTTCGTATCTCAAGTGGCTTAACCACTTGGAGTGCTCGAATACCCTTCCTAAAGGACAGGGGAGCTAATGCTAGTATGTAACCTGTTGTATAGCCGTGTCTATTTGTGACGTTGCTGTAGGTGGTTGTGTGTGTGTGTGGTCGTTCATGTGTAGGACTACCCGAGGAGACTGTGTTTAGACACCCTTGCCCCGGATAATGTCGACCATCCAACCCATCTCGTTGACCAAGTCATCGAGCTGGTTGTCGGTAGGTGCTGAGACCACAGTAGTGGTGACACCTGGGTGGTTCTTGATACCAGGTGCACGGGGCAGGCTGTAATTCTGCTCCAAAGAGGGCTTTCTTGAGCCGGGTAGGGATAGAGGCTGGACGTAGTTGACGCCACTCTCGTTAGAGAAGCGGTCATCGTCGGTAGAGTCGTAGAAGGAAGGAGCCTCATCCTCAGGGGAGATGGGCTCGATAGAAGAGGCGACGCTTGAGTCGGATGAAAATGAGAAGCGTGAGGCGGGAGCGATCTCCTCAAGTTCTTTGATAGGCAGAGGAGGAAGAGGAGAGTACTTCTTCTCACGAGTGAGCACCTTGACGTTGCTCACGGTGGGTAGGGTGCTGTCAGAGTGGGAGCGCTTGAAAGGCGGTGGTGACAGGCTGGTAGCGTAGTGGTTAATTTCGGAGAGGGCTGAAGACGCGAAGTTCTCGTCGTCCTCGATCTCTTCCACAATATCATCAGGGATGTAAACAGTGGGCCGATTCTCATTGGCCCTTGCGAACGGGTTCTCATCGGAGAGAAACCTGCGCAAGCTCTCGGGGGAGAGATCGCGCGTACGGCTGCCGTCTGAAGACTCGCTTCTGCTGTCGTCGGAGTGGGTGTATGAGTACGGAGAAACAGGACGCTCATCGTCGTCCATCTGGCGCCCACGCTCTGTGCTGCGGCTGGTGGAGGGCTTCCTGGAGAAGAGACGGCGCCATGTGGGTGGTGGTGAGGTTGAGCCAGAGCGTGCGATCGCTCTGGAAGGTGGAGCCGCGGGGGCGGAGCCCAGGCGCTGGTGGGGACTGCCGGGGATGGGTGGTGGTGGGCGGGGAGTGATGAACTTGTCCTCCGGGTTCATGGTCCTGTACTCGCCCTGGTGAAGAGAGCCCAATGATGCGCTGCGCTTGCGTTCCGCCGCCATCTCGTATGGAACTTCCAGAGTGTTTACAGTTTGTCCTGGCAAATACGGGCATTGCGTGGTGGTCGGCAAAGCAGGGTTGTGAGCTTCATGGGTACCGTCAAGCTCATACTGAGACGTGTTAGCCAATGTCGATGGCATTTCAGCCACGAGACCATTGCTCACGTAGTAGTAATAGGTGTTGCCCATTTTCAAGCCACCGTTGCGTTTCTTGTCCCGCGCTCCAAAGTCATCGTCGATGGTGATGTCGTTGAAGGTGTGGCATCCGCGCCATTGGCCGCGATCTCGTCGAATGTCTCGCTCCATTGTATACGGTTTGGAGAAGTTGTCCCAAGATCCAACCAGCTTTACTGTTCTTACGGAAGGGTGAGTTTGGCTGCAAGACGCTTTGGTTAGCAAAGCAGGACTTGGGGATGTCAAGATGTTATATATCACGGAAGCTCGAGGATGTTCAGTGATGCATGCAGTCAGCCGCTAGGCTCACGCCGAGCATCAGGCCTGGGTGGCCCTTGTACCTGTCCTCCCCCGAAAGCGGACGAGGTGCCGACCAAGGTCGGCGATGCCTTTTGGCTTTGGCAGGCGTTTGACGGAGTTCTCGGAAGGTTGCCGTTGGGCTCATGATGGAGGGTGGAAGGAGAGGAACGGGCGCAAGCTAGGGCCGGGGACGCAGGGCATAGCATAACCCGATATAAACTTTTCCGTCCGACAATGTTCGAAACATGAGCCCAAGCAGTTGGTTAAGCACAGGCAAACAAACTTCGGCGCCGGTCCCCGAATGCCCTCCCCGACTTCTTGGGGAAACTGAAGAGACTATGAAATGCTAAATGAGGACAGGCGACGAACTTTCGCCGGCCTGGTACATGCTGTGGTGGTGGGATTGGGCGAGACATGGGTGTAGAGGGTGATGGGACGAGGGGTGAAGCTGTTGTTGTTCAAACATACAATTATGCGAGTTCGAATGACGGTACGTAGATCGCGCATTCAGGTAGTAGTGATAGTGTATAGCGAAAGCGACGCCGAGATTTCGACCAGCGAACGGAATGAAGGAACGAAAGCGAACAGTATGAACGACCTATGGCCCTGATAAAAAGACTCACAGCATGAAGGTGAAAAGCGTCGTAGTAGGGTCCATGGCTGGATTAGGTTGGGCAGAGCCCAAATGAAATAGGATGTGGGAGTATGTCTCAATTAATGGGTTTATTGTTCCGCGGCGCCGTAGCAGCGCAATCCGCCCGGAGACTTTGTTGGCCCTTGGTAAGGTCGGAGGGCTTGGTATTTCCACCTCTGGTTGTTGGCCCGGCCGGTGCGGTGTAAGTCGACTTGGCCTTCGTTGGTTGGGACAGCACAGTTGGATTTGATTTCAGTGAAACACCAGGAGGCTTCCCATTCTGTCGGAATAGACGCAGAGCAGCTCCAGATTGAGAATAGGCAAGGCAGATTTGAAATTGACGGAGGGGGTCGTCGACCAATGGAGAGGAGGGGATGTGCGTGGAAGCGCCGTGACGGCAGTCTGGATGAGCGAGGTCGACGGTTGACTGGTGAGCGCTTAGAGAAACAAGCGGGCGGGCCCTGGGCATGCAGCAACAGAGGCTGGACGGCAACGCAGGTACGGTTCTGGGTTTGGAAACAGGCGAGGTAACGGAGGAATTGGAGTTTTCCAGAACTGTGTTAGAGGTTGAGATGGAAGTCAGGTACCCGTCTGCTCAGGATTGGCTATGGTTTTGGTTTTGCTTCTGGGCGTCGGGGTCGGTGGATCGGAGTGTGGGTGGGTGTTGAAGGGAAGTTTCCCGCAAGTCGCTCTCTAATATATATGAACCTCGGACGGAGCTGGGGAGCGTCTCGAGAACCTTGAATTTGGATCTGGATGGAACGGAGGGCTGAGCAATAAGCAGAGCCGTAAAGGTAGCGTAGGCTGAAGCAGTAGCGTGGGTGAGAGAATAATTGGACGGTCGCAACAGAAACGTGCCCTGGCAGCCAGTCGAACCAGACCCAGAAGAGACCAAAACCAGGGTCTCCCAGGCTATTTGAATGGTCTCTCGCGCACGAGCGCAAGGTAAAGAAGAACAAGAACAGGTGGGTTCAGTGGATATAGTGGATTCTGGCTGGTCCTTCTCTCGATCTGGCGGCGGGAGTCGCGCTTTGAGCCCACCCAAAGGCCCCTCTGGCAATTCCGCAAGACCCGTGAGACCCCGGTTGAAGAGGCGTCGATGGTGAAAGCAAGCGGCGTCAAGTCAGCCCAGTTGGGTAAGATGGGGGCAGGCTGCTGTTGAAGGCTTTCGCCGGGGTGGGTTTTGTGGCTTCGAGGTGGCAGAGACCCCACGGAGTTGGCCAAGACCCAGAGGCCTTAGAGGCCGCGGCCTTTCCTGAGGCAGCGAGGATTGGTTTCGTGGTGAAAGCTGAAGCGGACGTAACGGAGAGACTCTGACGGTTTCTGTCAACCAACAGCGCCTTTTGGAGGCGAGGCAACACCAACAGCAGCTGCTGTGAAAGGGGGCGGCGGCAGCGTGAAGGGCACAGTTCATGCAACGCGCTAATATGGCCAGGGCTAGCGAAGCCTCGTCAGGCCATGTGGGTGTCCTCGTTCGAGGTTGAGTGCCGGGTGCAGCAGCAGGGGGGGTGCTGCCGTGTGGGAGAATCGATTGGATGATGGGCTTTTTGATTAAGGTCCGCCGATGTAAGGTACCACTGGGTAGGGATTGGCCAGCAGCGATCTGAGGTGACGAGATTCCGTTGTAATCTTGTCGCGGTTGTCTGCCGGTTCAAGGCGATCAGGTCTCACAGTCCACCAGTCTCAGACTCGAGGGGACAAAGATGACGGGCTGGCTGATGATGTCGCTTGCAAGTTGCTGGGTTCTCGTTTGGCAAGATGCGATGAGAGTCGGAGAGTCGGAGCGGAGAAAAGGAAAGGAAAGGGAAGGACAGGAAAGCGGAAGCAGAAGATGAGGTGCTACGTAACTGCCCGTTGCGTTGCTTCTCTCACGTCGGCAGGTCTGTGTTGCGCCTTCCTGCAATTGCATTTGCAATTCCAGGAGTTGCATTGCACCTGCCCTGCACCTGCACCGGGCTGCACCTGCGCTTGCAGACCGTCAGACAGACAGTTGCCAGAGGAAGGGAAGCCACGACGTGCGCCTGCTTCCTGCTTCCTGCCAGTCCGTTCCTGCCTCAGCTGCGGCTGCACATTGCCTGCGCCTCTCTGCCATATTTGGAAGCATCACCTGCAGCCCCATACCTCTAGTCCACTGCAGGCAACACCAAGTTGGAAACATTGCAGCCTGCGATGCTCTCTTCCTATGTCTTGCTTGATCCAACGGAGGACGGAGGACGGGCCACCCACAGACGGACGGCAGGGACGGGAACTCGGCAGAGAGACGGGAGCAGCAGACTAACGGAGATGGATGTAAGAATCTTCCGTCGTCGTTGTCCTGGCAAGAGGCAGGTACAGGCCGAACATGATGGCACTCCGGGTTTGGGTATCCCAGGTCGAGATCGTGTATTCCTGCCTCTTCTCCCAAACACTGAAGAGAAAGCGTCGCTGTCTTCCTGTCCAGCTGGCGAACCGTGACGCTCCGAGGGCCAATCAATCTCCATGCGGCAGGAAAGCCCCACGCCGAACTCCGTCTATTAAGCTCAGACTGCCCTCCTTGTTGGGTCCCATCTCCCACGTCGCAGCCTGCCTGTTTTGCCCAACCAACACTGTTGTACACAGGGCCACGGGACCTGGTCTGCTTGGGATGCGCGGGAGGGAGCGTCCACGTCGTCGATGATCAAACAAAGCACACGTCGTCACCGCAACTCGGCAACTCTGGAGCATTTCTGTAGGCAGTACCCGACTCCCGCGCCAGTGCTTCCCGCCCCCAGACGTACATTGGACGGTCAAACTACCTGTCCAACAACTCCCTGTTCCCCGGGAGAGACACACTTACACGGAACACTTCAAACGGCCGACCAAGGTGACTTACAATCCGAAGTCCTCGCAGCCCCCTATCTCCCCGCGCATGAAAAGCAACCATCGCATTGCAATTAATCCGCGCCGCCTATGACGCTCCCAAGGTCACCTCCGGACGGTAATCAAGTCTGTGAGGTCGTTTGCGAGGTTCAGAGAGCCGGACGTGCCTGATGGATGTTGGCTTGTTCGTGACGTCGCGACCCTAACCATGACAAAGAGTCAGTTCAATGCCACCACGAGGACCCTCAACCCCGGATGGACAATCGCATTGTCCGTTGCGCCGGCCCTTCGAGGTGTCACTCGGCCACGGCATTCTATATCGATTGCCGCCCGTATCATTGCTGCGTTACCACAATCCGACAACATCGTGGTCCGCTGACCACCGGAAGAACGGCGCCAGACGACCCTCGACAAGCTGACCTTTCCTGCCTTTGACTGCGCATGTCTCAGTCTCGAACAGTTAGCATCCTGCAAGTCGTTGCCAATAGTCCACGGGCGTCACCGGCCCCTGTCGCTTCCGTCGCATTTCGGCCACTCACGGACGCTGCTGTCAATAGCTCCCAAGCATCGAGATGCAATCGGGGACCGCCAGTCCAGATCGGACCTACGCCGAATTCATGTCCGCCGCCGACGGAGACTTCAGCTCCAGCTTCAGCACCACACTACAGTCCGGATCTTGGCAGGCGTCAAGACTAGCTGCTGCGATATGTCTCCGCTGTCGAGCGGGACCTGCAGACACATCAGGTGCACTAACGCAGTGGAATGTACCGGCTGCAGAACCCTGCATCTCTTTGTGGTGTTTTGCAGGCTGGATCCAGAAAGATACCCACTCATATCGTCACGTTGCCAGCGTATGCACCGCATAGCTTCGCATTAGAGCCCTTCTAGTGTCATCTCAGCTGGAGTGTCACGGCAACGGTTTATTGACGTCAAATTGGCTCATGTTGAGGGTATTGGTATCATGGATCAGGCACATTGCCCTCACGAGCGTCGCTACGCTGCCAAGGGCTCTACGTCAGTGCAGACAGCGGCAGTGATGCCTTGACAACACCAAGTGAAGTGATGCCAAATCACTCCAGATACCACAACCATCGCGCAGCGTCCGCGATGCACCCCCTTCTGGAGCGCTCTCCGTTTGCGTCTCAAACGACAAAGGCACGGACGAGAGGCGCTTGACTGGACATTAGTTGACATATTGCTGAAAACGATTTCGACCTTCCCCAGTATCCACAACCACCAAGTGCTCCTTACCGGATTCGTCGACTCGATGTGTCCGCGATGCACACGCCCGTTTGGTTCATGCGATCTACCACACGTTCGAGCCATCGTGATCGCAACTTACCCAGACCACCGCCGCCGC